TAAGCCTTTTAATTTGGGGGAGAACCCATAACCCTTTTCCCTTAGTTTCCCCCCCCCCCCCCCCAGTGCCTCTCAGTTAGAGAAAAGAGCTGCTGAATATTGTCTGCCCCAAGGCTGACCAGTCTTTAGAAGGTCAACTCTGATCAGATTGTGCCCCCACCCCCAAGGCCCATTTAAAACTCCCTCAAGGGTGAGAACCTGAGTTTCGATCCCTAGCATCCACTTAAAAGCTGGGCTTGGTAGCATGTATCTGTAACCTCAGTGTTAGGGAACAAAGACAGGCAAATACTAGGGACTCTCTGGCCAGCTAGATAACAAGTTCAGTGAGAGATCCTATCTCAAAAAAATAATAAGATGGAGGTGATAATGGAAGATCCCCAGCTTGACCTCCGACCTCCGACCTCCTCACTCACATGCATGGGCAGGTGCTACTTACTACACAAACATACATGGACCCACACCAAAAATAAAATTAAATCTCTCAATGAATGACTCCTCAAAACTCCAAGTTCCTTGTCCTGGGACAATGCTTTCTGAGTCGACTGGGATGAGCCACATGAGTCCGTTGTCGTAATAGTTCTGCCTCTTGGTTTAAATAAAGGCCCACAGCAGGCTGTCTGAGGCTCTACTCCCAGGCCATCTCACTCCAGCACCCAGAAGACAGCAGCCACTCCTGACTAACACACTTTATGAGCATTTGCTGGCTCATGAAACTTCCATGCAAGGTGTTGCAGGTCACTCCTCATAGGTAACTGGTTAAAAAGTTCACGTCTTACTTGAGTTCAGTCAGGTGGAGAGGTAGTGTGTCCCTTAGGACACACAGTGATAGTGAACCAAATCTGCATTCTCAGAGGCCTCCCTCCACCAAGGCTGCTTCCCAAGGCCTGGCCATGCTTGCTGCCCACACTCAGTGCTCAGTCCCACCCCCGGCTCCACTTAGGCATGCCCTCACCAAAGTCCATCCAGGTGTAGCGAGAGGTGAAGTATGACCAGTATCACCAACTCTCTTGCAGACAGCAGCATCCCAGAACCAGGAGTATGTGTGGTCACCACAACTGCCATAGACATCCACCAGCCCAGCGTCTCCTCAGACTTTGTCTCAGTCGACCTGCGTCTGAAGTTTGGTGGCAACGGCACTTGCACCAGTGCCACCTCTGAGAGTGCCTGCCACTCTACCTGCAGCTCTGTCACCAGGGCCCAGAGTGCCAGCAGCCAGACGCTGGGTTCCTTTACAGACTGTATCACCACCCGAGAAGACCCATCCTCTGAGCCTGGCCCCTCTCCCCTGCCACTGTTGCCACACCCCCAGCAGCAGGTAGCAGAGGCCACAGTCCAGGATCTGATGTCTTCTCTGTCAAAGGACCCCTGCCCAGCACATAGGGCCTTGGACCCAACCCCCCTAGCCTGGCCTAACCCAGCCGACTCAGCCCAGACCAGTCCTGAGCTGGAGCACAGGGTAAGTCTGTTTAACCAGAAGAACCAAGAGAACCTCCCTGTCTTCCAGATCAAGCCTGTCATCCACTTCCAGCCCACTACAGCTGGACTGGAGGAGAAGTTCAGATCTTTGGAATCCAAAGAACCAAAGTTGCATAGGGTCCCTGAAGCCTAGAGCCTGCAGCTTGTTAAGTGATAAGAGGGCAGACAGCCATCTCAAAGCTCTCTTGGGACCCCAGAGGCCATCCAGGGCCACACATGGGGCTCAGGATCCTGCCTGGTCTCCCTCAGGGTGCTGCCTGCCTCCAGGGGTATGATGCCAGGCCAGGAGGCCACATGCCTCAGACCTCAACGCCCAGAGCTGGCGCCTCCTCTCGGCCTACTCAGGAGGGTGGTGCTCATGGCTGGGGTTTTTCTTGGTTTTTTTAATTTTGTTTTTTAATCATTTTTACAAAAACCAGCCAATGGCCAAGCTTCAGCAGGGTAGAGTGTGGGGGCCAGCTCAGCCTCTTTTGTTGCCTTCGTTCCTGATGCCCACCCTGGACCCTTGGGAACAGCACTGTGAGCAGGGATTGCCCAGCCCCACCCCAAGCTGTCTTTTTCCAGGAACACTGGGGGAGCCGACACGATCACAGAGACCGCCATCTGAGCCTGTCTCATCTTCCACTCTCCCAGTTCAGCATGAACATTTCCAAGGCTTTTCAAGACAAGTCTAGTTTTCACCTTCACAGGACATAAGGGGATGGATCTTGGGGGGTGGAGGGCAACCATTTTCTGACCTTGGCTTTAATAATAAAAACCAGCTACAGTCGGGCGTGGTGGCACATGCCTGTAGTCCCAGCACTTGGGAGGCAGAGGCAGGCGGATCTCTGTGAGTTCAAGGCCAGCCTGGTCTATATAGTGAGTTCCAGGACAGCTGGGGCTACAGGGAGACCCTGCTTCAAACAAACAAACAAACCAGCTGCAATGAGACTTCTAGATGGCAGAGGTTTTCCTTTGGTTGTCAGCCCAAGTAAAGTGCCAGTCAGCCTGGTACATGCCTACCCAGGTCTCCACAATGCTCTGGCATCCCCAAGGCCTTTATAGAGTGGTGTGAGCCTGGAATCTGCCTGGCTATGTGACCTACAGGTGGGTGCCTTCCCCTCCCTCATTTTCCCAGGGAATGGAGCCCACTGCTCTACCCCCTTCACTGAGACCTCCCAACTAGCTCCTAGAACCAGGCGCCCGCCCCGCCACTCCCGGTCAGGATCTCAAACTCACCAGGCTGAGTTCAGCATCCTGTCCACAGTGGTTCTCAGCCACAGCTCTGCTACCTGTCCAGTTAACAGACACACATGGCATTGCTGGCTCCCTCTCAATCCCCAGCCATTCTACTCCAAATTACTGGACCCCAACCCCCATCCTAGCCTTGCTAAGGCTCAGGTCCCGCAGGGCCGAACTGCAGCAGGCTCTGCCTAGCCCAGCCTCTGGTTTCCCTCCTCCATTACATCTTCCCAGGCTGCTAAGCCTCATCATCTCTGCCTAAAATCTTTCAAAAGGTTTGTGTCTATGACCACCTTGTTTTCTCTTGTCTGTAGGGAGAAAGGCTTTCTGTTTTAAGGGTTCCCACTCTGTGGGGGAACTAGAGAGTGATTCTCAGCCATTTGTGAGGTGGCTCACACTTCCTTCCAATCTCTCACTTCGATCTAGTTTGGTTTCTCTGTTTCTGTGATAGAATACCATGACCAAAAGCAACTTGAAGACAAAAAGTTTTATCTGGCTTACACTTCCATGTCATAGTCCATCAGTGAGGGAAGTTGGGGCAGGAATTCAAGGCAGGGACTTGGAAGCAGGAACTGAAGCTGAGACCAGGAGTGTAGCTTACTGGCTTGGTTCTCCTGGTCTGCTCAGCTATGTTTCTTGTAGAGCCCACTGTCCCAGGCATGGTACTACCCATAGTGGACTGGAGCCTCCTACATCAATTGGTGGTCAAGAAAATGCCCCACAGACATGACCAAAGGCCAGTCTGATGGAGGAAATCTCAGCTGAGGTTCCCTTTTCCCAGATGACTAGTTTATGTCAAGTTGACAAAAACTAGCTAGAACACACTCTCATTATGGGTCATTCTCACTGTTCCAGTGTGTGGCCTGCCCTCTCCCTAGTAGGCCAGCTGTCCTCCAGCTCCTGAGGCCTCTGGAATTAGGCCTGGAATGGTAGCATTCCCATGTGGTCAACACCTGAGTCCTGCTCAAAGCCCAGAACCTGCACAGGGCCACTCTGGAAAGATGACTGAATTGGAGAAGGGAGGGAAACTGCCATGTATAGGCAAAAAACACCCTGACTCATGAGATCAGCAGTTGTCAAAGATGTTAAAGGCAGCAGTATCCAACTGGCAGTTGGTGGCTATACCAGAAGACCCAACCACAGAGGGGCTTTTGAAAAGACAAGAACAGTAGCAGTCCTGGAGGTGGGTTGGGTCACCAAAGTATACTGCAGCCTCCACTTCTGAGGCCTTTCCACATGTCAACAGCCCTGGGAAGCAGGTTGATTTTACAGATGAACCTCGAGGCTCAGAGAGAGCAAAAGAACTTCCAACATTAGCAAGAGATGTGCCTGGCACTCGGCTAGGCACTGGCACCCTCAGAGTTTACAGCACTTAGAGGCACAGCACTGTCTTTTGCTATATGATTTGTAATTTTCAGGACAGGAGCCAGACGGGTCAGCGACCAATGCTCTACACCCACAGGACTACAAGCCACCACCTTCTCCAGCCAGCCCCCACTTGCTTGAGCTCCCACTATACAGGGTCCTGAGCCAATGCAGCTGTTCCAGCAGGTCACTGTGTAGAGCCTGGGTCAGATGAGCACTGCAGGCCCACTGCCAGCCAGCAGCCCCAGCTCCAGCGATGAACCACAGGGCAGTGGAGGAAACCTTTACAGGGGGAATTTTAAAGGTTAAGGATATCAGAATCTGCTCTTTCATTTATGTGATTGATGTAAGCAACTTTTGTGGAGTAGCTTTGACACTGAGCTGCAGAACTGACCCATCTCCAGAAAAACGTGATCAGGTAATTGTGGATTGTCTCCCTGACTGAGAGCTGTTAGACCATTGAAACACATGAGAAGGCCAGCGGAGATGGTGAGACAAGCAGCCAGCAGAGGCACAGGAAGGTGTGAGGGATGCCTGTAGGAGCAGGGAGGCATCTGGTGCTAAGAGGATCCCGGTAGAGTCATGTGGAAACAATGTGAAAAAGATCAGGGGAGCAGGTCACTGAGGCCTTGAATACCAGGCTGAGAGGACGTTCAGCCTTAGGGAATATGCCACAGAAGAGTCTTCAACAAAGCCTGGGGGCTTCAGGGGATACAGCCAGAACGGGGATAGGCACGTCCAGAGGAGGCAGGCCAGTTGCATAGGCATGCAAGATGAAGACTGGGGGCTGAGAGAGTAGAGAGACCTGACTGACAGATCTTGGAACCTCTACATGTGCAGTGTTGGGGGAGGGAAACAGCAGAGGGAGGAGATGCCAAGTTCTAGTCTGTGGTATCTGAGACTCTGGGATACAGAGACAGCTGTGCATGTTAATGTGAGAGAACAGAGGGTACCAGACAGAAACACAGCAGTTCTTTCTGTGGCTCCTCTGCCTAATTCTGGACCAAGGGCAGGGAGGGGGGCAGACTTCAGTCATACTCCACCCCCAGGCCCTAGGGCCGGTCTTTGTGGCCTGGAGGGAAGGAGATGGAGATAAAAGCTTTGACTTTCACGGCTCCCCAGAGTGCTGTAGCTAGGGGCCTGTGGAGATGGGCCAAGCACTCTCTAGGTCTACAGCTTGGACAAGAGGCTCCCTGCCCATTACACCTTCAGAAAGCCTGCTCAGGGGGTCCTAAGGGAGCTGTCTGGGACTCCCCCAGAAGAGAGGATGGCCTGAGTAGCAGTTGCTGTCTGTAGTAGGAACAAGAGGGTAAGAACAGCAATGGCTCCTCTTATTTCCTATGAGACAGGTGCTGGTGACACTCTCCCCTTGTCACAGCCCTGCGAAGTAGACCCCACTTTCCCTGCCTTGCAGGGGAGAAAATACAAGCACAGAATGATGAAATAACCAGCTCCACTGCACACAGCTGAGTAAACTGCAGTGGCCGGATTCAAACCCAGGTGTGTCTGGGAGAGAGACCACGCTGGAAATGGCGAGTTGAACCATATGCTATCAAGAAAGAGGCAGAGACAGAAATCCAGGCTCCAGCCTCCTCGCACTGTGCAGCCTGCTATGTCCTACAGGGTTGGCCTTGACTCTGGAACCGTGATAAACAGTCTTGTGACTAGGTATCATCCTAACATCGTGACCCCTACAGCAAGGACAGCACAGCTCAGAGCCAGCAGGGCTACGGCCAACTTGCAGAAGCCCTGCAGCCCTGACCAGAAACCACCCAGAGTTGGGAGCTGCAAGGCTTTCCCTGAGTGACAAGACTGGTCCCTCCCCAGCTGTCAGTAAGGATTCCAACTCAGAGCCTGGCTTTCCAGGTCAAGTTATACAGATGGGGAATGGAGAGCGGCACAACAGTTCACAGCCCGTGTGGTCAGAGGCTAGTGTAAGGGGTGTTTGCTCCTTCTTTCTGATCTCCAGCTCAGTAAGTCCTTTCTCATTCCAGGAGTCTTTGCTCCAGGATCTGCCTGGGCTAGTCAAGAGACCAAGGGTCTTAGCACTAAAGAGAGATCCTAGAGCTGGGACCCTTCTCTTTGGGAGCTGTTGAGAACCCCAGATGGGAGGGTCACGCCCACAGTACACTGAGCCCCACCCAACACTTATGTAGTTGCTTAACAAGGACTCTCACAACTCTGGGCATTTGAACAGACATCTCAGTGCTGGAGTAAAGTCTTCTCATCCCTGTCCACCCTAACCCCCAATGCTGCTGTCCCTTACCCAGTGTGCAAGGCCCAGGCACCTGGATTCTGAGCCCAGCCCTGTTTCTGTGGCTCCAAGCAAACCCTTGAGCTGCTCCCTTCCCAGCACAACAAGAATAATGACTCCTATGCACCCCACCCTGAGGGTTGCTGGGATAACTAATGACATAATGGAAGGGAAAGCCCTTTGAGAATGTTTCAAGGGAAACACAAGCTGAAGGCATCCTTATTAATAATAGATACCTAGGGTGTGTTTCTGCCAGTGCATGCTCAGCACTTCTGGGGCAGATGCCCAGGAGATGCTCTGTTATTTCATTTGCTGCCACTGATAGTTTGGTGTGGGGAGGCCAGGGGTGGAATGGATGGGTGTCCTGCCCCAGCTCCAACAGACTGCTCCTAAGCTCCTGAATTCCTGCTGCTGGCCTGTTCCCGTTTATTTCCTTGTAAGTAAAGATCTCAGAGTCACCCAGTCAGGCAGCAGAGCACTGTTGTTCTCCCTACCTGCCTTTCCCTTCTCCAGCACTGGCTCTACCCCACATAATTGAGGAAATCACAACACTGTGAGTTTTTTTTTTTTTCCCCCTTGGCTCTACTGCTGAAAAGTTTGATTCTGTCTCAGGCACGGAGCAGAGCCCTGTTTTTTTCCCCACCCGCCCTTTCCCTTTCCCGCACTGGGTCTTCCCCCCATAAATTAGGGAAACACAAAACTGTGAGTTTTTTTTTTTTTTCCCCCTTGGCTCTACTGCTGAAAAGTTTGATTCTGTCTCCTGGTGCATAGTTAATTTAATTATCCAAAGAAAATGATGGAACGCTTGCTGCTAATTTATTGCAAGTTACCAAAGACACAGC